GGCCCACGAGGTCCTCCTTGTGCAGTAGTGTTTCCCTTCGAAATTCTCCATGATGTAGCAGAGGCTCTTGTACTTGAGAAATCGTCGTGGCTCATGTAGTCCTTGATGTCCAAAATGATAGCTCATGTAGTCCTTGACGTCCAAGATGATAACCAAGACACCCAACAATCCGCCGAGGCCACAGGCCCAGGCGTCTTGGGGGTTACCTCAAGTACCCTCCACCTAATCCTCACGAACTTCCCAGCGACGGGAGTGCTCCAAGCAACCTTCAGAAGGTTGATGTTCGTATCAATATGGTGGCCTTCTTCCACTCCAAACTCAACTTGCACCTTCACAGGCTTCGACATGACACCATGCGACAGCCATGCGGCCGGCACAGCTTTCAGAGCCTGTTTGGCTTTTGCGGAAGCAACTTTGCCGGAGACAGGGCCCACTTCCGTTTTCACGGACCTCGCTGGACGCGACTCCCCCATTCAACTTTTGATGGATCCAGCTGCGGGCTCACCATCTGTAGCAGCCCACGCACATGATCACCTTGGAGTGACTTCGTGCACCAGACTCCTAGCATGAACTGTCCAGAACCGTGATAAGTTCGAATAAGGGCAGGTTCGAGTTGTTCAACAGTTCAGGCTGCATTCAATCTGAGACGCCCCAAGGATTTTAGCTCCTTTTGGGGCACACCGGGCACACAAAACAAAACGCACGGTTGCTTCATAGACATCCATTCCACTGGAGCATTGCCCCACATCCGGACGATGCCCATCAATGCGCAGCGGATCCCCGGGGCCATGACCGTTACCAGGAAGCTCCGAGATCAGCTCTTGATTGCTTTGGGACACAATCCAGAAACTAAGTCAGGTCAGGCCCCCTTCGGGCACGGTTGGTCAGCCACGGCATTTCGACAACTAAACTGAGCTCTCCACAGTTGCTTGGTGGAGTCCTGGAGCTCCGAGTGACGTCATTCTCGTTCGTGCACGGACAACTCGCGGAACCTTGGATCTCCACGTAATTACTTGTTCAAACGTGATTGAATGTACTTAGCGTGACCGACATGAGTCCCATCAGGCTTCTGCTCAATCATGACCGGAATGACCCTGGTCCGGGTGCTCGGGCTCATTGATCGTCCATTTCTGTTTCGCCTTGAGGTCCACCCGCATTGACTTCTCGAGACCTCCCAGATTGGTCAGCAACATAAATCGAGAAAGCAGCCATCCGAAGACCGATTCCAGGACTGGGTCACACTGGCCTCATCGCCAAAATAGTCTACAGAAAACCTCGCCTTGTGTCTGCGAGAAGAAACCCTATATCTCCGTTACTCTACAAGGCATGCACGAGTCCTCAAGCAGCATAACAAAGTGGAGGCTGAAGACGTTTCGTAGCGCTTTGGCCTACTTGGACGCGCAAGACCCCAATCCTGGCAATGTGCACCCACCTCCTGACCGCCTGCATGGGAACAGGGCGGATCGGGAAGTCCATTTCCTCCCAAACCTTCACGTGGATGCGATTTTGCTCACGGAAGCCGCGCAATATCCCACTGCTTAGTGCATCTGCTTCTTGGGTCGGGCATCTGGAGTTGTAGACTGACTTCCATTCGCACCACAGACAGCGGAAAGGAGGCTCTTCCACCTTTTGTTTCCCGGCCTCCAAAACAAGTCCGAAACGAAACGATGCACAGGTACCTGGAGCGAGCAGCACAGACCACGCGAAAAACGCACCTAAAGGAAACGTCTCATCTGGCCAATGTGTCGGAGCGCCTCGGCCACGAAGACCAGACGCCCCGGCATCGACTCTCTCTTCCTCTCGCTAATCCCAACTTGGAAAGTGTCGAAGCTGAGCTCGTATAGCCGACCATGGTGAATGCCCGCCACCCGAAGATTCCTCCACGTGAGCGGCACCTCAAAAACGTCGATCGAATAGAAACAGCCGGAGTCGTGAGATGCCAACCGTTCATCGTCCAAATAGAGCAGCAGCAGATGATACCCCGAACGTGCCTCTCTTGCGCAGGAACAACGATTAACCAAGCAAAACGCCTGATAGCCTCAGTTAGGAGTGCAATGAGATGATGTGAGCGTGAGCCACTTCGCGCACCGTACCGAACTTGACTCCCGGCCTCACGGCACACTTCTCCCTGCTTAGCCTGCCTGATACCCGCCTCGACATCGTCCACCAGAGAATTGCGTAAGCAGTCAAGAACTCTTCTGCGCTACATCTGTTGACGTCCACAGAATGGCTGCCATTCCGCCATCGTTCGCAATCCTAACTTCGTCCGAGTTGGTACTCGCGATCCGCCTCCGAACGACCACCGGAACGTGCCCCTGACTTGTGTCATTAGTTTCTGCCTCTATGTCCATGCACGTTCGCCCTGGCTCCGAACCCACCTGCTGTCCAAGCCCATTCAACAAACTCCGAGAAAGGCGGCTGACTCTCCTAATCAAGCCCGCGGCCAGGCCCGAATTCGTCCTTCGCGACGTCGTTCCCCGATTCTCTTCACACCAACGTTGCATCCACGAGCCTTTGGCACCACGCCGCCTTCTTGACTCTGTGGGCAGCTTGGGGTCTGGCGGCTGAGGCTGTCCACGTTGTCCGCGACTCGGGGTGTGGCTGGGCAACCTGCCGCGCTGCACCCGTATCGCCTGGGCGGCCCGTTGGACGCCGAGACTCTAAACGCTTTCGCTGCCTCCGCACCCCGTATCGTGGTTGGGAAACCGGAAGAAGAACCCAACCCGAGACGTAAACAGGAAAAGCTGGCTGGTTGGTCGCAACTCTCGAGAGTAGCAGAGGAAAGAGTCCGACACATATTTGCCGCCTTGCGCAAATTACTCAGCACTGACTCTGCATCTGCTTCGCGCAAAGCCTCGGCTCTAATCTCAGTCTAGCCATGCAGCGGCTTCCAACAACGACAGAATAGTGGGAGCTGGCCAGATTCGACAGCTGCGCCGGCACAGCTTGTCCTTTGAATGGGGTGCCCTTGGTCTGACAAGTCTGCATCCAACCGTGAAGCCAAGATCTTCTGCCTGGCTTCAGTGTTTATGTCGGGTCTCGCCACGTCACCTCTCTACTTAGGACTACATGCACACGCATAGCTACGTGCCGAGTAAACGACCCTGCGGGCGCACGCGCTGACCGTGAAACAACAGTTAAACAACAGCCAACGGCCAACGGCTTGAAGCAGCCTTCCCTGACTGATGGCACGATCTGAAGCTCTCGACCCTTCTATCTTGGGATGCCTTCCTTCTTCTCCCCGTCCCTGCTCCACGTAAGGAAGGCTACCCCCGTTACGCGATAAGAAGTTGCCGGGGAGGAAGATCCTTCATGGGGTGCATGTCGATTCACCCTCCACCGACTCCGCGTCGGAGCTGACATCGCTTTCCGAAACAAACCTTGCAAGCTTTGTGGAAGCCGTCTTCTCGGGCCATTGATCGCCGAGATTGAACAGCTCCTCGTGAAACCTTGTTCGCTCACCGTCGAAGCTATCTTAGCCAGCAGCCTGTCTTTGTCGACTTGATCGACCTTGCCCCTCGACGAACGAATGAACGATGCGATTTTCGCTTGCGATTTTTCCACCTTCGCCCGATCACTTCGATCGCATCCTTCATCAACATCCTGCTTCCATCGACCCGAGCGTTTCATCGACCTCGGTGATATTGCTGCAGCACCTGCCCATGATCTGAATGTGGCCCTCTCCGATGCTCAGTCCACATCAGTGCCACCCGGCAACAGTGGCCGCCCGGGGCTCTCTCCGGAAGTCAAATTCGAAAGTAACGCCGAGAGTGCCACATACAACGCAAAATTCCTCGTCAAGGATTCAAGTGAAGACTGTGGGACTGGCAGGAGAAAATATCTCTCGGCAAGCGAGTACCCTGAGCCACTCATCCCAACCCATGCATCCTTGGAGATGTGGAACCTCACCCTCGTAGTGGATCTCCCCGGCCCTGTAGTTTTAGTCCGCGCGAGGACCTTCAGCCCGCGGGGTGAAAGCTTCATGGTGACATAGTCCACGCCTTGAGATTTGATTCTCTGCGTGCCTTATAACGACCCCCAACACTTCACCAACTTGTACTTCGCCATTGCACTGACGAGTTTGCGCTCTGAGTTGTCCAGGACAGTCCTCGTGAATGCCATCACGACTTGTGACCGCGAACATGTTGGCTTTCCTACTTTCTGAACAGGATGCTGTTTCTGGGAAGCATGTAACGTGATTTTCTGCCTAGCGTTGGAGACCGATGGATGGACAGAACTCTGTTCCGTTCTCAGAACTTTCGATAAACATCAACTGAACAAGCTGAGTGGAATGCTCCTGCCGCCGGTTCCACGGCACGAACGGATGCAATGGCAAGGCGCTTGCCAGGCCACTCTATGTCGTAAGCACCCTTCAAGCCAAGAATGCACTCTCCCAAGTTTCCACGTGCTTCCTGAGCGTGGAAGGCCTCCGACCTTTGCCTACCCACCTACTTTCACCGAGCTCGCTAGCATTGTCAAAATCAAGGACCTGGTCCATGTAACTGTCTCTGCCTCTTCGGCTCTCTCCCTCAGTTTCCCGTGATCATCCGCCAGCGCGTGCCAAAAATCGAGCCCGTCGGATAGGCCATCTATGACTTGAAGCGGTGCCCTGCAAAGGCAAGACCTTGTGGCGCATTTCCTTCTATGGAGTTTCGGTGGAAACGGCCGCCTTGGCCCGAACATTTACGAATGAAAAAGCTTCAGCGACCACCCCGCGGTTCTGTGATTCCGATTTCCGAGCCGTGGTCAGCAACCCACAACAACCCGGAAATTTCCGGAGGCCTGCTGCATCAACTCCAACAAACCTCTCATCTCCCTTTATGACCACGGGATGGGGATCGAAGTGCCCTCTGCATCTTCTAACATAGCCTGCCCACAGTCCATCCCATACCTTCAGTACCAAGGCTGTGCACATGCGCAACAAACAGGGCTTCAGACTTGACTGCTGTAGCTTGCCACTCTAAATATTTCGTGGTGCTTCTCACAAACCCTCCTGGCTCTCATCTGGATATAGCGCCTGAACAGCGGCCACGAAGCTCGGCTTTGCTTCGCGTTGCTCCGTCCAAGATCTGACGGCGCGAGCTCATGAAGTCTCGCAGATCAGTTGACTCGAGGGTGCGCCTCCTCTGCTGGGGATCCTGCTGAGTGCGCAGATTCACGCCCGGAGTCTCTCACAACAAGCTCCCAATCAGTCCTCCTCTTGGTGCACATGTTTCTAACTGGGCGCCGTAGAGCGATTCCTGAAAGGTGTCGCGAACTTTGCTTCTGGTCATGGCTTCCAATCTCAACACGACTAAATCTTCTGCTCTCTCCCGCGATGCTTCTGAGGTGAAGCCACAAGCCGGATTTGTCGAAGATGGTCGAAACTCGGGCTTTATTCAAAGCCTTGAAAACTCAAACTCTCGACTTAACGCACCCCACAGCCTTATGGTACTGTTGGGTGGCGGGATCGGATCCTTCCAACTTCAAGGTCTCAGCCTTCCAGTCCCCCACCTCCGACTCGTTGTGGTCGTCGTCATCATCAGACACGCCCTTCTCAAACTCCGTCGGGGCCAGGGAGCTCATGCACTCCTGGGAGCCGCAGACTCCGCAGCCCGAAGACTCGGGTGCCCACGCACGCCCGGCGCATGCCCGCGTCCCCGTCCGTCTCGGCCGTGTCGTCCGTCTCCGATGCCTGCACCAGAAAAACAGCTGATTGAAGCAGATAGCGCCAGAACCCAGCCTTTCCGACAGTCCACATGGCCTCCTAAGAGGTGCAAGCGACGTCAGCTATGTGAGGCCTTCTCTCCCGCTGTCCTCATCGCAGAGCGTGAAGGCACGCGGCCCCACGCAGCCACAGCCACGTTCCAGAGGCTCCACCTTCCCAGAGCGGTGGAGAGCGGTGGAGCGGCACCAGCCCTGTTCGCCCTGGCCTCTGGCTCAGAGGCCCTCGCAGAGTTCACGTCCTATCACGAGAGAACGTCCGATGCTAATAACACTTCTACTTCAGGGTTGATGATCACGTGGACTTGGTTTTTGCTTTCCCGATTCCAGAAAGCTCGTTTCGTCCAATGCCCACACCAAGAAGAAAAACGCATGCACCGGGGGCCTCATCGGCCTCATCTGCCTGGTGATCCGACAGCTCCTCCTCCTGCGCTCCAACTCAGCACTCTTGAGCGGGAGCGATGAAGGTGAGCAGCCTATCAAGCTCAGAGTACACACATTTAAGCTTCAGACTCAATCCTATACAGACCCACCCGGCACAAGAACATCCGTTCAGGAAGCCTGGGCAGGATTCGGTGTGCAAGATTGAAGACATCGGCTCTGCGCAAGGTCTGGCAGAGCTTCAACTCGACGAAAAAGAATCAACATGGATCCTAAGAATCCTGAAGTTGGTCTGGTCAAGCTGGCCCAACTCCAGGAGAAAAAGCTGCGGTTTCTGCAGACAGGTATGGTGCAGCTGGTTTCTCGCAACAGGACCCAGGTGGTGCTTCATGATTCCATGACCGCTTGGATTCCATATACTTCGGGCCGGAGGGCCGGAGAAATTTCGACGAGGTCAACCCAACACATGCAGATCGGCTGGGGGATGCAAGCGACATATCTGACAGACGACGCCCGCAAGAAGGATGCGCAGGCAGAGCTTTGCTACTGAGACATTCTCTCGACACCATGGCACACGCAAGCTCCGTGCCTCGTCGCACTCGAAAACGACCCAGAGATCGCGCGGAACGAAGCCCTGCTACAGGGAGAAAGCGCGCTGAGGGGCTCAGGGGCTCGCAGGGACAAGTCGGAACAAACAGTCGCTTTTTTTCGGTCGCCTCCAGCTCCGGCTCGGGATCGTCCAAGCTCAAGAGCTCCTTGGGTCACGGGACTCACCGGACGGCCGGCTCGGTCGGAAGTCGCTTCGCCTGGGCAGAGATGCCCGTGTTTTGGGCAAAGAGCTGCTCCTCCTCGGAGTCCGAACCTTTCAGAGGCTTCAAAGACATGCGAACAAAAACAGCTCGAGCTCTGGGGACCCCACCGTCCCAGCTCTGGTGGCTAACGAAGTCAGCCCAACCCAGGGGGCCTTTGACAGTCTCTGCCTGCACTTCAATCGGGGACGGAGCGATACAGGAGGGGTGCCCTGTAGAGCGTGCTCTGATCGCGGAAAGGACGACGAACAGCATCTCCGTGATAACTCGCAAGCCCAGGGCCGACGGCCCAGCTTCGTCAGGTGCCTCGTCCTCCAGGCTGAGGCTGGCTGCTCTTGAGGCCTTGCAGCCACGCATCCCGTCTGAACGCAGCGGCCTTTCTCAGCCGGCCTTGTTTCTGCGCCCTTGTCGAGTGCCAGGGCGCGGAGAGCACGGCTCGTAGTCGACACAATCCGCTTCTGAAGAGGCCTCTGTCTGCTCCTCCGTTCAAGCATTGCAACCACCCTGCCAGGTCCTATTTCCCCTTCGTGTGGCAGAACCTCCTGGTGGAAGAACGGGGCGAAGAACGGCCATCCAGAACCTCCCAAATCGGATCACAGATGGCGCTGTTCGATTGTCACGTGTACTGTGAGTATCAGTGTATCAGAGCGACTTGCGAAACGCAGAGATTGCCGTCACAACGGAGCAAAGCACTGAGAGCTGTTGGGTTGGGTACTATATCGAGCCGAAGCAAGGCGACCGTGGGAAAAAGACTGAAGCATCCCTCGTCGAAAAGAAGGGCCCAGCACAGCAAACTCTGCGTGGCTTGGCCTCCGTCACCGGAGGGCTCCGGTCGCCCTGACTCGAAGAACCGAGCACAGCAGCACAGCAGCACTGGGACAGCACGTGACAGCGTGGCTTGGGCAGCTCCAGCCGTCTCTGCGCCGCCAAGCATGGGAGCTCGACGAGCTCGAGCTCAAGGCATCGGCATCCTCCTGCTTGGAAGGGCGAGCCCCAAAGCGGAGTGGGGTTCAGCTCTGGCGCTCCGCTATGGCCTCTGACTCCTCGGACTCGTCTAAGAGCTGTTCTCGCGCTGCGGGAGACGCCAATGGAGGAGCCATGTGCAGAGAGACCTGACATTGGACGTCCTCGATTTGGAGGTGTTCCAAGCCTTCAGCTTCACCCGCTTCCTTCTTGGGAGACCTTGGTCTCGCGTCGGCACATCCTGTAAGGATCGTGGCTTCGGCATCGCCGTTCTCAGCGGGACATGTTGCAGCTTCCGGCGTCGAGGCCCGGGAGTCTGGGAGTGGGAGCTTCGCTCGGTTCTCGCGGCTGTCTCCTCTGATCCTCCAAACAGCCAGGACCGCGAGCTCCGCACCCCCGGCCAAGCCACTGCGAGCGGGCCTCCACCAACAAAGCGCAGAGAGAGAGAGAGAAAGAGAGAGAGAGGCAGCGAGAGAGAGAGAAAAACAAAGACAGAGAGGGGAGAGAGAAAGAAAGACAGAGCGGGAGAGAGAGAGAGCGAGAGAGAGCGAGAGAAATGATCTACCAGATCTGGTCTGGTGATTTGCAATTGACTCACAAAACTGCAAGATAGCCAGCCCTTTTTGCGAGCCGTTTGTCCATTGGGAACGCCAGCTCGACCACCGTGCTTGGTCAGGGGACATAACGATAATACTCACAATCGGCTCCTCGTCTTTTATGATCGGTAGTAGTTTAATAGTATTGTCCGACCTCGGGTCCTCGTTGGAGATCAAGACCACTTCTGAAATCGACAGGCTGACCGAGGACGAGGCGAGGGCGGGGCGAGGGCAGAGGGAGAGGGAGAGGGACACACACACACTCTCACACACACACACACACACACTCACACACTTTCGGTGGGACTGAGCACTGTCGGATGGATGCTAGTTACCTAGTGTTTGCTAGCTGTGCCGTGAACCGTTTGAACCATCATGCGTGTAAGCTGGCTACATGTCAGATTGCGGCAAACGTGCGAAACTGTGATGTACTTATCTCATCTGGACACCTCAGGGGGCCTGTCCTGGAGCTAATTTTGGCACCACAGGGGGCTGCCAAAAGTTTTGCAGGTACGCCGAGTTGATCACACTCGGTATCCCATGACTGTGGTAGCTTCGTTGAGTGCGGTCCCGCAGTCATGCCGCACTCCCCTGCACTGCAGAAAACAAAGATGCAAACCAGGTTTCCTGGAACTGTTCAGTACAAGTTGTGAGCAAGACGTGTTGCAAGCACATGGATCATGATGCGAATCACGAAGCAAAACAGTGATTGCTGCAAACCGTTGGGTTGTGAGCCCCTTACCTCATGTACGAGAGGAGTCCACACACACACGCGGCCCGATCATGGGGCGCATGCAGACTGCAAGCTGAAGCGGTCTTTTCATGCTGCGATGCTGTAATTCGAAAAAAGGTGGCCGATAAGATCGGCAAGGCTGCATTTAATTAGTGGTGCTCACGTTCACGGAGTGCGGGAACGTTTGCGCTTGGTAGGAGAGGATCTACCAGTGCTGTCTGCGAGGTCCGGTGTGGCAGTAGGTGGATCCGTATTGCGCGTGTGAGGCTGGTCATCTCTGATCCTGGTGGAATTGAGCCAGGCACGTGTTGCGATAAACCAAGTCCAAGACCAGCGACCTTCTTGGTCGCACCACCAATGCCAACGCCATTCAGATCCAACAAAAAACTTCGCGATCGTGGTGCTCTGTTCATGCTTCGTGTGATGGTGGTGCTGAGAGGTAAATGGCTGCGGAAAAGAGTAGTGAGGCTGCATGTATGAAAGACTGCGAAAACACAACGAGTAGGATGCAATTTTTTCTGCGCCTTGTCGAATGCATCAGTGTGTGCTTTCACGACCAGTCTGGAGCTTCTGGATCTTCTTTCTCGAGTTGGTCTAATTGCGCTTTGCAGTTTGTAATTAGTGTCGTCATAGTCTGATGTTGTACTGCGAGAAGATCAGAGGTTTTCTTCATGAGATCTTCCAACGTCTTCTGCGACAGCAACGCTGTGGTGTGTAGGTTCTCAGCCACGGTAATCAATGCCTGCATGCCAAAAGGAGTAGCTGAAGCTGGTGATGTGGTGCCGAGTGGAGCTGAAGGTGGGGTCGTAGGCTCTGCGATATGTGCTGTGTCTTCCTCCGGTTGCTCTTCGGCCAAGTCTTCTTGGGAAGCAACTCGTAGCACCTGTTCACGTAAGTCAGGATTTGATGATCGTCCCGATGTGGTGGTGGTGGGGGCGGATCGCCTCTGCGATGGTGGATCCCTTTGGGACTTGTGGCGCTCGTGGATTTGTCGACGTACTGGCTGTCCCTGTCCACTGCCTAATGCTTGGTGTCGTTTGAATCTTCCCACTCATGGCGATTTTAAACATCGTAGCATGAAGAAGCCCAAAGCTGCGGAAAACAACATGTGAGTCAAAGCTTGTGAAAATTGCTGCATGTCGGCGACATCACATGATGCTTAGCATGCGAGAGACGGGAGTTGCTTTTCCCGCCGCAAGATCCTAGGCGCTGAGGGTACTGACATGTCAGCTCCCAAAGTGTGTCGTACTGTCAGCAGGAGCCGGAAGTAACGTTGCCACTCGTTCTAGTAGCTGTTGTTGACGTTGAATGGTGTCTTCCAGGTTGCTGATGCGACGCTTCAAATCGTTGGTGGTAGCAGTGATGGACTCAATGAAATCAGCAAGCATGTCCTGAAAGTCCTGTGGGGACACCAGTTCTGGCTCGAAGGAGTCGTTCGATCCTTCCTCGTATGGGTCCTCAGAATTGAGTACCTCATGTAAGGCATCCGCCAATCTGGCTCGCTGCGTGTCGGATAGCTGTGGCATTCTGTTCATGATAAAGCTACCGTGTATGCGAGTTGTGGATCTGAAACGGCTGCGGTATGATCAAGATACTGAATGCGAAATGTAGATGGCGTGATATGTGAGATATCCACTGTGCATCGGCCTCTTGCTGTATCCTGCGCTCACATAAATCTGCGTGAGCTGCACCATAGCGGTTGTTGTTGCTGATGCAGGGTGCGTGGGTGCGTGGGTGCGTGGGTGCGTGGGTGCGTGGATGCGTGGGTGGTCACGCGCTGGGCTACTCGCTCAAATTGCTGGCTGAGAAGCGAGGGCGCAGGGTGATGGCTGTTCGTGGCTGTGCTCTGTACTGCCACCGTGATGATGTGCGGGTGTTGCTGCAGCGGCTGTCGCTGCGACTTCGGGACCGTCCTGAGCTTCGTGATCTTCTGTCGGTAGGGGTGGTCGGTCTGCTGTTGTCCCGTCGGTCACGCCGGCTGCGACGGCTTCTGCGGCGGTCCGTGGAACAGCTGGACTCCTGGCGTCGTCGACTATCGCTGCATCTGCCGCGTCTGCGGTGATGGCGGGTGGTGTCCGGCTGTTGCACTGCTTGTTGGGTCTGTTGAGTTTGTTGAGACGAGTGAGGGGGCGGTGGATTGCTTTGCGTGGCGGGTGGTGTTGCGCCGGCGTTCTTGCCTTGATGTTGTGATGTGGGTTGTTGTGGTTGCTGTGGTTGGTGGTGGTGGTGTAGGGAGTGTGCTGTGGAATGTGTTGTGTCGGAGGCTGCGTCTGAAGTGTTGACTGCATGTGGGTGTGGGGTGGTGCAGCAAATTGTGTCTGCTGCCACACTGGTGGTTGGGATTGTGGTTGGGTAATGTGAGGTGGAGGTGTCGAGTAGTGAGCTGTGTACGCAGGGTGCTGATTTGTGGTGGGCACTGTGGGTGGAGCGAGTGGTGGTGGGCCCGGAGGTGCCATCATCTGCTGTTGTGGCAGTGGGTAGGGCATGTGCTGCATCAAGGGTGGAGGAGGGGTCGGGGTCGAAAATGCGGCTGTAGTTGGAAAAGCCGTCATTGGAGGTACGGGAGGTGCCATCAGCTGCTGTGGCTGTTGGTAGGCCATTTGTTGCATCGCTGGGGGTGGCGAGTTTTGTGTCGGGAAGAACGTGGTTGTCGAGAGCCTCTGAGGTGCCATCGGTGGTGGCTGCTTTCCGAACTGCTGCTGTGGGACAGTTTGATGCACTGGGCCCCACTGTTGTCATGAGTGCTTGCGCGGGACGGCATTTGCATCTGGTAACACTAGAGTGGTCGGTGCACACCTCGCTACCTCCGCTTGCTAGTCTGTCTCGCCTTTTCCTATTCTTTCACTCCACCCTATTCCGCCTTTGAGCAGGGGGGCACACGCACCTGATTGCTGTAAAGCGTTCAGCAGTAAAGGTCTAATGCACTGTGACTGCACAACGTCGATGGATTTATGCACAAGCTAATTGCATCATACATTTTGGGCGACTCCCCCCTGCCGTGACGCAATATGCAGCAGCCTTTCTGGACGCAGCAGATGCCACATGTACCTGCGGCCAGCAAAAAGGAATGGGGTTCCAAGCAGCCGTCATTCGAACCTGGGGCCTCACTCGGGGTCCAATACCTTATAGTGAACGGAGCTGAACGGGAGCGAGAGAGAGAGAATACCCACCCCGGAGGGTGCATGAAATGTCCCCCTGATCGAGGGCTGCCTGGAATGCATGTCACGCCAAGGGCGTCACGGCGCCGTAACGGAAAGCCGCTGGGTCACACTTTTCGGTGGGACTGAGCACTGTCGGATGGATGCTAATTACCTAGTGTTTGCTAGCTGTGCCGTGAACCGTTTGAGCCATCATGCGTGTAAGCTGGCTACATGTCAGATTGCGGCAAACGTGCGAAACTGTGATGCACTTATCTCATCTGGACACCTCAGGGGGCCTGTCCTGGAGCTAATCTTGGCACCACAGGGGGCTGCCAAAAGTTTTGCAGGTACACCGAGTTGATCAGACTCGGCTGCAGAAAACAGAGATGCAAACCAGGTTTCCTGGAACTGTTCAGTACAAGTTGTGAGCAAGACGTGTTGCAAGCACATGGATCATGATGCGAATCACGAGGTAAAACAGTGATTGCTGCAAAACGTTGGGTTGTGAGCCCCTTACCTCATGTACGAGAGGAGTCCACACACACACACACACTCGTGCAATCCTCCCTCTGGACTGATAGAACTCTCGAGAATTTCAGTCGGTACATTCAGAGGTTTAGGACTTCAAGAGGATTTAGGCTTTACCTGTTGCCTCAAGCAAAACTGCACTCATATGGGGTTTGTGGCGTGGCCCCAGTGCCATTCCAATGCATTCGCTAGCACTTTACTGCAGGTACACAGAGCTGGCCAAGCTCTGCTTCCCATGAGATCAGGTAGCTTCATTGGACGTGGTCCCTGATCTCACGCCACGTCCCCCTGCAAAACTGATTGATTGAACGGCAGTGAACCTTGGCGAACAGGTGTTCCACACACACACACACACACACACACACACCGCGAACGGGGTAGCCACTTGTGGCTAAAACGATGCTTGATATCTGTGCACATTTTATACACTCAGCATCTGAGCTCAAGCGAATAGTGAAAAGAAGCATTGCTTAGCATCCCAATAATTGGGTATGCACCTTACATGCTGTTAATGAAGACGGCCAGTGAAAAGACTGGCAAAACTAATTACATGCAAAAACTTGGCTTTCATGGAGAGACATCTCGCCGTCTTTTGCGAGGCGACTGGGAACACGAAGTCTTGTTCTCAGAAATGGTAATCGTCTCGGTCGATCCGGGGTTTTGGTCCCAAAGCTTGTCTGCAGCGA